CATTCAGTTTAACTTTGATTGTTCCATGCATTCTCTATTGACATTACAACTCCTCACAACCACTTCTTATGCCTAAAAACATGAGGTTACACATTAAAAGGGATTTTCTCACCATTTTTATTTCTATGTGTAATTAAAAGGGCTTTCCTATTTTTGTATGGATTACTGTTGTGCCTCTCAGTATCCATATTCTCTAAATATTTTTCATTACTAGCAAAGATTTGCAAAATTACCCTTTTAATTTAAATGAATAGAATCTGTTTTGTTTTTTAACATTGGTAATTTTTTTACTCTGTTTTTTTATTTGATTTTTTTTTTTTTTTTTTTTTTTGGTTAAGCTTGTATTTTCGCATACGAATCATCGGAACCTTTTTTGTCTAAGTTTGTGTGTACAGACAAGGAACCAGAGTGTGTTTCCGCTTTGCTCTCAGTGATAGATTTGAAATGCAATTTAAGAAAGGAGATAATCATATATATATATTTTTTTCTATAAATATGCATATAAACCTTTGGGTTTTTTTTTTTTTTTTTTTTTTTTTTTTTTTTTTGTCTAAAATGAAAGACATGGTTGAATTAGTGCCAATATGTTTGTGAAAATCTGAGCTAATTGTTCTTTATTTTTTCTAGTTGTTATTAGTGAAGGAGCCAAACTATAGCAACAGCTAGTTCAATCTCTGCTGGACCTTTTTCCACATTGTTTGTGTGAGAATGATCTCGGGTCCTGGAAAACAGTGGTTCTATGAACCAGAAGTATAGACAGTATACAGTAAAGACGGTATTTTTGAGAAACGTAAAGGGAAATGGTGTCAGGGTTTCTCTGAGAGTCCACCATCAGACCCATGGTCTTTCTTGGTTAATCTCCAGGCTGATGTGCCTGCTGTCTGTATGCAGATTCAGGAGTTTTGCTGACTGGTCCAGTGAGTTGCAGTCATTTTACTACAGAGAGAAGAGGAGCTGGTACGACTGAGGATGCTCTCTAATGCTACTTTCAGTGAGGAAGCTGGTGATCCACTGGCGCTGTGAGCTTCTAGTGTTTCAGGTCTGCAAATCAGATCCTGGTGTACCATCCTGGTAACCTGGCATAAACCAGATTGATACCATGAATTTCAATTTGAATTCTACATGGTATCTATCTGGGAAGCCTTGCAAGAGAGAGGGACATTAAGTACAATTCTTCGAGCAGACTGGGTACCTGCTTCTCATGTCAGGTTTTCAGCCAATTACAGCAGCAGTACCAGCTGTGAACAATCACATTTTGTATTAGTTTTACAGCTAGTGGAGTTAACTGATAAATCAAACTCTCACCAAATCTGGTCGAGAGGAAAGCACAAACATTTTCTCATCCACCAAGCAACAAATACATTTTTTTAACCAATTTTTCAAAAGAAATGGAGGATATTTCAAATGAAACTGGTGCATAGTGTTGAGAATTGATAAGATTTTCACGTTTCAGATTCCCTTATCGATTTTGTGAAACGATTCGATTCTCTTATCGATTCTTGTCACAGTCATCTAAATCTAATGGAGAAGGCATCCGTTTAATGAAAAGGCATTATTGTACAGTTTTGGGAAATAAACTAATCTCTCCCTGATTTAAATAAATGAGCATCACCTTTCTCTCGCTCGTTGAACTGCGGAGCAACTTCGTTGCATGTTTCGTTACATCCGTTGCAATAACTAGAATCCTGTAATAATTCCAGCTACCAGTAGTTCTAATTAAACATGTTGGCAATGAAGGGCTGGATAAACGAGAAAGGCACACTCCCTTAATAACTCCAAAGAGAGGTATGAAATTGGTTTATTTCCAGAAATGGCATATGATTTATTAGGAACCACATTAAGCACAGTGATATAAAACTAGCTACTTACCACCAGAGTTGCCTTCCATGCTGGTCGTAACTTTAGCTTCTGTCCGGCAGGATTGAAAAACACGGCATTCATGTTGTGTGCACAGGTGTTTCTGCATGTTGGATGTATTTCCTCCCGTGGTTGTAATTGCCACTTTGCAATTAATGCAAAGTGCCTTGTTGCCGTCTTTCTCTTCCTTAAAATGTAGGGTGACCAGATTTGGATTTCTGAAAAGGACACTTTTTTTTTTTTTTTGACTGCTGGGCCGCTGAATGGACCTGACTTTAACAGAGAGCCATGAGACGCCCGTTCTCAGCCGGAGGAGGGGGGGCTGGGGACCGGTAAGGCAGGCGGGGGGAAACACGGGGCCGCTGTTGCCCAGGCTACTGTTACCGGGTCAGATTAGGTTGCTCTGTCCCCTGTGCTGATTCCCTGTTTCGACTACATGCTGCACTGTAGTCGACAAAATATCCCGGAGGATTTTGAAATTCCCCCTGGACATTTTTTTTAGGTCTGAAAAGTAGGACATGTCCGGGGCCGGGTCTGGTCACCCTATTAAAATGAAGCCAAACTTTCGATCAGTTTAACAATAGGGACACAATTTTATATCTTGCTTTTCTAGACTTATGCCTGGTCACAATGTACTTGCTTACTGAATGCCGTGTGCATAACTTGCGAGCCCTGGGCTCTGGTGCTGCCTGGAATCGATAAGAGAATCGTTAGGCATGCTGCCAAACGGTGCCATGGAATTGGAACACACAGAACCGGTTCTGAACAGGAACCGATGTTCGATTCCCGTCCCTACTGGTGCAGCCATGATTTTTTTTTTTTTGCTTCAGCCTTCTAAACATTGGATGATGCATTGACTTCTTACATGTCACTGCATTTCATTGGTCTGAAACAATTCTGTATTGAAGGTAATGCAAGTCATGCTTTTAAAACCATTTGGTTGTACAAACATTAAGGTAAAGATTGCCTTGTGATTTCTAAATATTGTTGAAAAAGCCAAGAAATATTCTGGTTGACATTATAGAATGTCCTTATTTCTTGTCAAATATTGGTTGTAAACACACTGCACAGTTTAAAAAGATTGTGAGAAATTGGAAACAAACTGCAGCAGGAGGAGAAAAGTTTCTCTTTATTGATTCTTGAATGACAAGTTCAGCTGACAGGAAGATGGAGAGAGGCAGGCATGCAAACTTGCAAGCGCATGCATTATGCACATGCACCTTCAATCACACGTGAACAGGAAGACAAGCACACACAAGCACAATGCACCTCCCACGCTACCGAGACACAGACTCTCCTGACAAATTAGAATGTGAGCGAGTTTGGTGGTTTTTGGCATCACAGTTCTGTCACATTTCTGTCAGGGCTGCACGTGGTTTCACAGCGAGACAAAAAAAGTTGAAAAGAACGCTCATGTCATTCTCCACTCCCACTTTCTCCCTCTTTCTCTATCCTTCTGTTTTCGGATGCTCTTTATTGAGTTTGAAGTGGGAATATGGAGAAGTCTGCAACACATGCTGCATAATTCTCAGTGTCCTATTGTAACACCCCAGGTTGTTATATAATTTACCAAGGACATTCACATTTTAATTCTAAATTATTGTCCTACAATGAAAATATATAGTCTATATTAATCCCAGCCAGTCTGATAATTAACACAATTCCCGAATAAAAAGGGTAATACTCAGCATGCAAAGTAATATCTACCCACATCACTATTCCTAAACAACAAATCAGTCTGTAAAGCAAAAAGGGATACAAAATGTGACCTAATGAGCATCAGGCACCACACATGCCAGAACATCCAAAATCACTGCTTCTATAATATTATAACCACAGATTTCCTTTTCTATTTGCTTTTTGCTGTTTGTTGTGCAGCCTAAAGCACTGCTGCCCTTACATGTAACGGTTTCTCTCCAAGTAAGGGATACTGTTTTGGCTATAAATACCAATTATCTCAATCACAACATATTATAGGGCTTGCTTAGCTTCTGCACAGACTGAACTTTTACAAAGGGTTCTTTTTTTACTCCTTTGTAATAATTATTTTATTTAATGGTATTGTCAATCATTCTGGTGATTTGTTTACATTACTTTTTTTTTCCTACTTGTTTTGATTCTGTTTTGTTTTCCTATATTTTAATCATGTAAAGCACTTTGCATTATCTTTGTACTGAATTGTGCTATACAAATAAATTTGCCTTGCCTTGCCTTACGCCATCCTACATGCTCATCCCCATTTTCACTTATCTGTGCTGAGTCTGACATAGTGGAAAAATTGCAAATCTTCTTCTGGAATATAAGCGAGGAGAAATGGGCTTGTGTATGCTTCCGCATGCGTTTAGGTGTTCCCTCTCGGGAGCAGATACAGGGTTGTGCATGTGCATTTTTTATTTTTTTTATTAAAGTGGAGAGGGTGGGTCTTTTCAAAAATTTGGGAAAATCCTCCATTATACCTTTAAATGCAGGAAAACGGCACATTAACAGGAAAAGACTGCAGCCAATTCAGTCTCTTCACTCTGACATAATTGTAAAGAGTGTATCTTATTTACTGTTCGTAAGATCTCCAAGGAGTCTGTGTTTTATATAGATAGATGGATGAGGAAATAAATGTGTTGTGCAATTATATCTATAAATATTCCACCTAAATCAACAATGGTCATTTATTTCTGTTCATATTCCTTCCAGTTGAAGTCAGACATTTTGCATTTCTAACGAACATTGAAAACAGCTCATTACCCTCAGAAAATGTGAAAGAGGTGTGTGTGTGTTTACCCAAAATGTCTAACTGAAGATAATTAGCTTGTCCAGCTGGGTATTAAAGCAGTAGAGAGGCAAAGGTTTTGCATAAATACTATGTTTATGTGCCAGCAATTGTTAAACCTCAGTTTTTTTTATTTCTAATAGAAGAGTTTTGGTGTGTGGGTGTGTGCAGTCAGACAGTATTTTAACATGGCTAGCCGACTTCTTGCAGCCCACAGTTAAACAGTGACTCACAAATTCCTCTCTCATTCTGCTTCTTTTTCTCACCATCAGCGTCTTTTTTTTTTTCTTCCCCTCTGTACTTTTTTTAGTCTTTAACACATTTCACTGGTTTTCTGACATATTTTTCTCTGACGTGCCTTCTTTTTTCCCCTCTGTAGGTTTGGTGCTGACTATAGCAGAGTTTAGGACAGAGGTGTTGCCCCCACAGTCTCCACCCCCAGCATTGACCCAGTAAGTTAGAATACTCCTTCACTTGCCTTTTCACTTAAATCTCAAATAATGAAATTTTTGTTCTCCTTGTCACTGATTTATTTCTTAATTTACTTACAATTTGCAACAATAACAAAATGTAAAGCCTCTAATGCGGATACAATCATTAAAAGACAAACCTCTGGTTTAGTGTTTACAGTATTTGCAAGTATACATGTTAGAATCTCATCCAGCAATTAGACTGTGATCATTTTACGGACTTGTTATCAGCTATTAGTAACTGTTGTTATCAGCTATTAGTAACTACAAGACTGAAATGTGTTTTTTTTTTCATGCATTTACATCGTTAATTGGAATCAATCATCATAAAGACAAAATTTCTGATCATATCTGGTCGGATGAAAGAATTTTCTACCCTTTATGGCCTCAAATCATTTCTGCCTTACCTTAAAGCTGAACAAGCATTTAGCTTTATCCAGATAACTCCATTTTTAAAAAAAACGAAAAGCTCTAAAGCACAATAGTATCTGACAGGGTAGAAATCAGTAGAGCTTAGCAAAATGAAGATTAAAAAACCTTTTGTTCAGCTCCTTTGTTGGTGTGAGGTTCTCTGTGATGAACTTGAACAATAAAAACATGCGAAATGATCAAATTGCCTTTATCCAAATAGGGAAATTGGCATCTTTTTCCACACCTGCTGAAATAATATAAATCTTTCTTATTACAGTTAGTGTTACATCTTTTATTCAGTCTTTATAGAGCTTTCAAACACAAGAAAGGCAACATAATGAGGAGGGTTTTTGAAAACATTTATGTTGTGTATCCTTTTCTGAAGCATATTTTTGATGTTTTATTTCCTTATCTACACACTTACCAAACTTGCAGTCAGCTCTTTACCATAGATTCCATTCATAGCTTGCCTAAAGTAAACCACCTTACACTGAGGCTGTTTCGCCTTAAGTTTTTATAGAAATGGCAATGAGGAGCAACTAGTGGGGGAGGGGGTTAGCAATGTGTTACCTTACGCTGCATGCTGGTCGTGAAAACTTGCTTTTGGTATCTCTGCTTCTGTCTCCTTGAACCCCAGTTGGCCTTGGCAGATGGCCGCTCACACTGAGCCTGAATCTGCTGGAGGTTTCTTCCTGTTAAAAGGAAGTTTTTCCTCTCCACTGTCGCTACAAGCACGCTTAGTGTGTGGGATTGCATTCGATTCAATGAGTCGATGCAATCAACTGGTTTTCCTTAGATAGAAAACTTTGAATCAATTTGACTGGATGATCTGGTGAACTGTAAAGTGCCTTGAGATGACATGTGTTGTGAATTGGCGCTATATTAATAAACTGAATTGAAAACTGTGGAAAATCTTTAAACCAGCACAGATCCGTAATCACTGGAACCAGTATTTCATTGTTACAGAACTAACATAATCATCAGTTAAATTCCAATAAATCTCTAATTAAAAGCAATCCATTTTCAGGCTTTGCCACACACCTTTACTGAGGGTGCCACAAATTGTAATGGGCACTGTTAATTAACCTTGTGTGAATAAATTAATAAAAACTAAAGGAAAGGTCAGTTTTTGACTTAAGTCTGAAGAGGTTGATTACCAATTATTAACCTCAGTTTATTACAGAAACTATGACAAATATGAAAATTGAAGTTTTAGGTTCTGAAGATCACATATTTTTCAAGAATTTTGAAAAAGTGTACAATAAGAACATGTAACAGGCTCTCAAACAAAGAATGTTTCCCAAATCAAAGGCAAAGCCAAATGTTCCCGTCAGCAAAGAAGAAAAAAAGTTTACTGACGCACAAGAGCGCACCCGTACACAACCCCCCGAGGGCCCCTGGGACTTCAAAGAGCCGTCTACTGTACCTCAGCGACACCTTAACACCAGGTGCCGCAGAAATGGGGAAGGAGGGAGGGTTGGTGGAAATGGTTCTGGAGAGAGAGGCTGAAAGTCGAACAATCTTTTGGAAAAAATTTTAAAAGAAGAGACAAATAAGGTCAAAATCAGAAAGGGAGAGAGATGGGAATATGTGGGAGTTACAGTTACAGAAAGAGGGAATAAAGAGCAGAAGAGGAGAGGAAGACTAGAAGAAAGAAGTTTGTGAGATGGGAGGTAAAAACGAGGGACAGAGCCGCAGACAGAACGTCTGATGCAGGCCAGAAAGACAGAGTGGCAGAAAAGAGAAACAGACTGGGAGTTGTTGCAGCTGAAGACAGAGGCATGTGGGGGAGGCGAGTAACAGCGTGCTGCTAATACCCTCTGCTGCTTTGTTGTGAAGAACCCCAGTTCCCCTTTTATTGGTGAACCATTCCTTTTAATGACAGCAGTAAAACACACTCACACATGTATATATTGCCGTTCCTCGCTGCCTGACAGGATATAATGTTTTGAGCACAATGTGACAAGTCACAGTTCAACTTTTACAACTTGCAGGCTGAACGCTCTCGTTCACACAAACCAAAGTTCAAACGCAAAGGCAGCTCTTATAAAATAAAAAAAGACTTTACCAGCAAGGCATAAATATGCAGCAGAAATGTAGGTCTCGATCTAAACCAGTTGGCTCAAAGTGTTTAAATGAAGTTATCTGAACTGTCAGTCATAGAAACATCCGAATATCATACCCAAAGAATGAGTCAAACATAGCAGATAGCAGATAAAACCTGATTTGTTCATAATCTAAAACAAAAACCTACTACTCCGGTACTCCAATCTAACTGTTGCAAAACGTGCAACACGATCCGGCTACCGTTGAGCTTAACAGTTTGTAAGTTTGGTTCAGGTTACAATTTATTTTAATTAATAAAGATGTTGC